AGTAGGACTCCATCCATGAAAGGAATTCAATACTGAGTTGAGTTCAAGCTTCAGCCAACCGTCCAAATATGGGCTGATTCTGCCCTTTTTACCCAGCCTCCTGAATTTGGAGTACGAGATTCACTGGCAACCGTGGTTATCGAAAGCACGTCTTAGAGCCTAAAAATGTATGATTTATATTTTTTACTTTCATTACATGTAAAATCTTTTTTTAAAAAAAATTTTGTTTTTATCTTTTTTTAGCATAAATTTTGTAAAAAACTTACTTTAAAACAGTAAAAATTATAAAATTTTATTTTTAATTTTTAAATTTACAATTTTTCAATTTACTAATCATTTCATTCAATGTACTATTCTAATCTCTATTTTGTACAAGTGACTTAATTGTCTTAGTTTAATTCTCTATTGTTTGTTATTAAGATTGTATTTATGTTAACTTTATATTGAATAATTAATAATTTGATTATTTTAGTTTAAATTATTATTATTTATTATTTGTATTATATATATATATATATATGAAAAGAGATTAATTGACATCCGTGTAAATGTGAAATACTTATACCTAATTTTATATAATAAATTTGGTCAAATTTAATAAATGAGAATAATTACAACTGTTTTCTACTATATTAATTTACAATTATTTTTTTAAAAATATTAATTAACCTTATTTATTAATTTTAATCAAATTAATTATGTAAGATTTGATATAAATATTTTGTATTTATAATAATGTCAATATATATATATATATGGTAAAATTTTTATTTTTATATTTTACTTTACAAATTATAAACTTTTTTTAATAGAAATTTACTTTTGATAATTTGGCTAACAGCCATTTCACGTAGAAGCAATATGGGCTGATTTGCTCCTCTTATCCGGCCTCCTGAACACGAGATTCACAAGCAGCCCACTTCATGTAAAAGCAATGCGGGCGAGCTCCAAAAAGTTATTGTTTTTCAGGTTTTCCCACAGACCTAAAATGAAACAAGAATGGAGATGCGGGTATCGATCCCCGTACCTCTCGCATGCTAAGCGAGCGCTCTACCATCTGAGCTACATCCCCTGAGCGAGCAAGGTGCTCTTATAGTAAAGGATAAAATATGGCCACATGACTTATTTTATTTCTTAGTTTAGACAAAAAGAAATAAAGAAAAGAATAGGCTTGTAATTGATTCTTATAAGAAAATTAAACAATTTTTATGATTATTAAGACATAATTACTTAAAAGTAATTTTTTTTTTTTAAGTTTTAAAGTACAGTCTTGACTATCTCCTTTTTTCTACTCATTATTTATAAATTTCTTTGAATTAAGTATTTTTTTAAATAATAAAAGATGTCATATAAATGAAGAAGGTGATTGACTTGAAAAATTGAACAAATTTATTAGGACAATTATTTTTTAACCTTTAAATTCAAATCCTCTTTGATCCTGTAATATTTTCTTAATAGTTTGGATGCCGTGGCACACCTTAGACTTCTTATTCATCAAAATAGTTTATAAAAATTGGTCTTCTAGCAAAATAAATAAAAATAAACAAATTTGGTCTTCTACCAAAACAAAGGAAGAAAAAAGCATCCTTTTTTATATTTGCAGAGTTGAGGCAATGCCACACTTCCATCGCATGTTCATCATCTAGTTATTTTTTGGCAAATATTTAGAATTTTCTTAAATTAAAAGTTGCAAATATTATTTTAATTTTACATACTGAAAGCTAAATACTTACATATTTTTACTTTATAATTTAAAGTTTTCTATTATGTTGTGCTTGAATATTAATGAAGTATTAACCCAACAACTTCAATTATGAGTGTTTAACAAACTGAATCAAATAGTTTAAATTGATAAAAAAAATTTCTTAAATTAAAGTTGCAAATATTATTTTAATTTTACATGCTGAAAGCTAAATACTTACATATTTTTACTTTATAATTTAAAGTTTTCTATTATGTGTGCTTGAATATTAATGAAGTATTAACCCAACAACTTCAATTAGGAGTGTTTAACAAACTGAATCAAATAGTTTAAATCGATAAAAATATGGTATGATTCGTTCATTTTGATTTAAAAGATATACCGTTTTATTAATTTTGGATTTTTAGATAAATTATATAGACCAAATCAAATGTATAATTTATATATATAGAAAATTAAAAGTTTTATCTCTATATAAATAATATATTTTTATTATTTGATTATATATTTCTTCTTTTTATTATATTTTATATTTATATATTCATTTTAGTAATTAATTATTTTTCTTTTTTATATTGTAATCTCTATCAGTACGAGTGAAATTATCTAATATTGTATAAATATATTTATTATAAAATATAATAACTATTATAATTAATTAATAAATAACGAATTTGTCAAGTAAAATATTTTAGAAAAAAATGACTAATTTTTAAGAAGATTTTGTCAAAATTTTTATAAAAATAATAAATTTAATTTAATTTATTTTACAAATTAAAAATCATCATTAAAACTAAATTAAATTATAAATTATAATTTAATTTAACTTATAAAATTTATAAATTATAAAAATATAATTTAATTTAAATTTAACAATCAAACCGCAAGCCAACCATACCGTACTATACCATGCCATAGCATGAGCCTCCTGACTACAACCCGACCTGTGATGTCCAAAAAAAGGAAAAAAAAAAAGGAACGACGAATAGTTCCACGTTGCTCTCTGTTAAGTTTCCTCTCCGAGTCAGCCATCTCCCTTCCTCCGAAAAACATGAACATTCCAACAATGAACGTCCAAAAGTTGCACTACAAAGGCAAAACGAAACAACGAAGAAAAGGGTTTTTGAAATTTTTCGGCTAATCCTGTGCTTCATCATCTAACAAGCCGAAAATTTCAAATTCCACCCAAACTTTATTGTATCTTCTAACGGGGATTTTGTGTTTAATCCTCACATTGCTTGGAATACCATTGGAGTTTTTGTACATTATTACATTGGAAATTGAGGGCGGACCGAGGAAGTCACAGCAATTCTGTAGAGTTGGAAAATCAATAGAGAGCGCGAAAAGACTTCTGGGTCCTGATCAGCCATTGCATTTGGAGACTGCGGATGAGAGAAATCGTATTTTATAATATACGCAAATTTCATAGATCTATCTTCGCGTTTGTTTGATTTTCTGAACGGGTATTTGTCTAATGAAATGAAAAAATATTACTCGGAATAGAATGGTGATTTGGGAAGCAGCAACAACGGTGTTAATGGACACGACAAGAGTCCGTTCTCCGATTGTTTTATTGGTTTTTCTGTTTTCGTTTTCGGTAGTGCGTTCAGAAGGCAACCGTAAAAGTCTGGGAATCAATTTCGGCAATGGAGTCCAAAGGAATTCTCCAGAGGTAGATCCACACAAGGTACCACCATGATCTTTGCCTTCTTATCTTCGGGATGTATTTGAAAGGTAATGAATTCATTAATGCATAATAATAATCATAATATTTACACAAGGTACTTCCAAGAGAAATAGCCAGTAGAAGCAATTCAACAAAATTTGGAGTGCATGTCTTTGGGCTCGTATCCACTTGTCTGTGTATGGATATGTAGTTGTTATCCGATATTAATGTTTGTTAGACGAAGATTGTTGCTTTAAGAGTGATTCTAAATGGATATATTTTGAATTTATGGAACAAGTTTCATTGTAACTTGTAAAGATTGACCAACTTTTGGAAAATATCACATTAATGCATGAAATCGGAAAGAGAACATTTTACTTACCAGTTATGGTGAGAATAAGATCTTTTCAGTCTTCCTGCATCTAGAGATTTTTCTTAATCTGAAAAATAAAAAAAGGTTACTTTAATAACTAATCAAACAATTTCTTTATAGGGGTGCTTATCAAATAATGAGTTTTCTGGTAAGATTTGTTTGGTGGCTACAAAGTCTTGGACATGCAAAAAGTTGTGAGCCATGCTTTCCATCTTACTCGGAACTTTGGTAGTTTGAGAAACGTGTGTCTAAACTTCTGCATAAAAAAATTGGGATCTCAAGTGGAGAAAAGAATAAGAATATATTATTCATGCACTAAACTCAATTATTGAAGGCTAAAGACATGATTTAATTGTGCGTACACGCACTAGAAGGATGAGAATGATGCTGGCGAGGACCTTTTCAAATGTATGTATATTGATAATTTAACATTTATCTTCAATTTTTTCTTCAGGTATGATTAAACATTTGCTTTACTATTGCTCTTCCTAATAATATATTTAAGATCTCTTCAAATATATCATGTCAACATAAGATTAATTGACTAGAAAATTGGCCAACTATTCTATAAGCTTGTTGTCAGCTAATATAATAACAGCATAAGGGGTTTAATTCTCAAAGGGAGGTGTCAAGAGATTAGTTTAGTGTGCAACCAAAATCATTTCCCTTATCTTTTCTCATTTTTACATCTTCCTCAGTTTGATTAATATGAAGAAAGAACAAAGCTTTACTCAAAAGAGAAGCTCGTAAGGGAATTTGTCTACATCTATGTACATAAACTAAAGCAGAGAAGCATAAAAATGGAGATCAGAGTACCATATTTTGTGTCAAACCTTTCAATTATAACCTTGCTAAACAGCCTTCACAATATATTATTTTATTGTTTTATTTTTTATTTGAATTTGATTTCCTTCAAGCATACATCTACAAGCACTTTTCTTTGTTGACCTCCTATATAAAAGGATTGTTGGCGATCCCAAGTTCCTTGTGAAAGCTGACAATTACGCCTGAGCAAGAGGAAAAAAATGCCACTACATATACTTCCTCGTATTAAAAATAGTCTAATCTTCTTCTTCCTCTTCTTTTGTTCTCCTATTATTTTTGTTAGTTTCTCAGAAGAGGTTTTTTTTTTTTTTGGGGGGGGGGGGGGGTCAAGGGTGAGCATTAGACCATCATGTTAAAATCTTAGTGTTTGGTTCAACTTTATTTGTTAAATTGAATGATAATTAACTAATGGTAATGAACTTTGTTGCTTGCAGGGACAAGCATGGATTCATTACAGGAAAGAAATGCAAGACAATATAAAAGGTGTTTCAAAATTTGGATTTGTATTTTCTGCATTCTGCAATTGATAGTCATGATAAGACAAATGGTGATGCAGTTCTGAGAAAAAGAAAATTGCAAAAGGCCACAGAAGCTGTAGAGTCAGATTTTGCACAATTCTTGAATGGGGCACCCCCTCCACCTAAAGTTAAACGATCTTCACCTCCTCCTCCATCTCATCACGGAATCATAATAACCACCACGTATATATAATTATAGCTGTAATTGCAGTTGCTGGGCTCTAATTATTATCAGTGTGGGGACCTTAGTTGCTGTCTTCAGGCATGAGGATGAAGATGGCCTTAAATGTGGACAAAGAGATGAGAAACCTCTTCTCAGTTTCCCAAGTGATATTTCTGGTACTTTATGTGCACAAGTTGTGTTATTAAAAAATTCTATTTAAGTGATTGCGGAAATGATGAAGATTTTGCTTTCCAGGTTCATCAGAAAAGTCTCATAGCCAAGGACATTCCAATAACAAAGATCACAAGACTTCATCTTGTGTTAGCAATTCAGAGGATGGTTATACCTCTTTATTTGTCCAAGCTCAACAATCCAACTTTGCTGTGAGTGCAACTGGAAATATCCTACCACCTCCTCCAGAAAAAAATATCTTACATCACCACCGCCTGGTCCTCCTCTTCCTCCTGCACCATCACCACCTACAGCACCAATGCCTCCAACACCACCAACAGCACCAGCACCAGCACCAGCACCAGCACCTAAAGCTCCTCCTCTGCCACCACCTAAAGCTCCAGCTCGTGGGCCACCACCACCTCCAAAAGCTGCTCGGCCCTCCACCAGCTCCGCTTCCTAAAGGTTCATCTATTAGAATACAAGGAAAAGAATGACCAAGCAGGAGGATCTGACAAAGCCAAGTAAAGCCGCTTTTCTGGGACAAGGTTTCCACCAATCCTGATGATTCAATGGTTTGGCATGAGCTAAAAGCAGGGTCATTCCAGTAAGGCATCTTTTTGCTAACTTGACATTGTGAGATTGGTCTTCATATATCAAATTTCTTAACTTTTTAGTTGAATTTACAGGGTTAATGAGGAAATGATGGAAAGCCTTTTTGGGTATACACCTGTTGACAGGAATAAGAATAAAAATAGAAAGGATAAATCTTATTCAGAAGCCCCTCAGTATATCCAGATTATAGAAGCTAAGAAGGCACAAAACCTGTCAATTCTTCTAAAAGCTTTGAATGTGACGACAGAAGAAGTCAGTGATGCTCTTAAGGAAGGTTGGAATGACTTAGAAATACAGCATGAAAAATTTGCATCATTAAATTTTCAAGTCACTTTTAACTTATATGAATGCATTGCCGGCTTTTCTTTTACATGCTTTCTAATTGGCCAAAAGTTAAAATGATTTTATTTTTAAATGTTACCCTTTCCTCTACACTTGCCTTCCATTTCCCCAAATATGCACGCTTATTGACATTGATGTCACGATTGAAATTATTTTATTTTAAATGGTAACATTTGAATTATATCAGCAGATGATAGGAAACTTTTGATTATTAACATCTATATTTTCTCTAGTGTTTGAAATTATTTTGGAAGATAAAATGAATGAATATGATCAGAACATAGGATAAAATGTATTTCAAAATTAATATTGAGTAATTGCTGTGGTAGGTCACTATACATATGGTTGGTAAAATCTGGCTGACATTCGTCATCCATTAGAGCTGCCATTTGTCTCACTTGGTACCCATGCAGATGGGTCTTACCACTAGTTTATGTTGAAAATGCAACCATTTCATATCTTTGTCATCTTAATTATGTTTCAAATGAGCAAACTACTTTTCTTTTCTTAATTCATTAGGTAATGAGCTTCCTATTGAGCTTGTCCAGACTTTGTTGAAGATGGCACAACACAAGATGAAGAGCTGAAGCTTCGACTATTCAATGGCGCTCTTTCTCAGCTGGGACCTGCTGACAGGTTCTTAAAAGTCATGGTTGATATCCCATTTGCATTTAAACGTCTGGAATCATTGCTATTCATGAACTCTCTTCAAGAAGAAGTGTCCGTTATCAAAGATTCTTTTCAGACTTTAGAGTGAAAAATTTTAATTTCGAATGCAATAGCTTATTCAATTATGTAACCAATGAATCCGTTTGCCATTTTGACTCCCAAAATAGGAAACTATTTGTACTATTTTTCCATCTTAACAGTTTTTGCCACCTGCCCAATGCCTCTTCGTGTTGTTCTTGCTACTAACTACACATTTCATATACACCGTGAAATACATTGAAATTTTTGGTGTGATTTTTATGTTAGAAGTCATCAACATTCTCTCGTGCGAAGTGCATGACATTCCTTCAACAAGCTTTCTGTTATTCTATCTGATTGTATTTTATTGAATAACATCAGATTGCTCTAGCTATATGAGATGATGTCTTAAAATTACAGGTTGCTTGCACAGAGTTGAAAAAGAGCAGACTTTTCTTGAAACTCTTAGAGGCAGTCCTTAAAACTGGCAATCGCATGAATGATGGTACTCTTCGTGGTGGTGCGCAGGCATTCAAGCTTGACACACTTTTGAAATTGTCTGATGTAAAAGGTGTAGATGGCAAGACCACACTCCTACACTTTGTTGTCCAGAGATTATTCGATCAGAAGGATAAGAGCCGCACGTGCACTAAGCCAGAGCCAGAGCTTATCCAGCATGAAAACTGAAGATCTTACTGAGGATGTTACAAATGAATCTGAAGACTATTTTCGGAACCTCGGTCTTCAGGTGGTTTCTAGGTTACCTGAAGACCTGGAAAATGTAAGAAAGGCAGCACTTATAGATGGTGATAACCTCACAACAACAGTTTCCAAACTGGGCCACTCACTAGTGCAAGCTAAAGCATTTCTAAACAATGAAATGAAGAATTTAAATGAAGTTAGTGAGTTCCAACGTACTCTGGAAAGTTTTCTACAACACACAGAAGATGAGATCACACAGTTGCAAGAGGAAGAGAAAGAGGATAATGGCTTTGGTGAAGAGCACAGGAGATTACTTCCACGGGAATGCAGGAAAGGATGAAGGATTACGATTATTTGCAATAGTTCGTGATTTCTTAATTATGTTGGATAAGGCATGCATTGAAGTGAGAAAGTCGGCCTCATTGGCATCTAGGACTCCAAGGAGACAGGCCCCATCAGCTTCAGATTCAGCTTCACCTTCACCTTCTTTTGAATCTCGGCAGCCAAATACTCCTGATGCTCGGCAAAGAATATTCCCAGCGATTAGGGATCACCGAGCAGATGATTCTAGTTCAGATGACGAGGGCTTTTCCCCATAAGAGTTTACTTTGTACAGGTACAAAAGATTTCACAGGTTAGAGATATATCACATCCCTTTTTTTTTCAATCTTCATGGTTTCTTGAAATATTGAAATGCTGAGCGTTTCTATTTTATATTTGTTTTCTAGAACATTGAGATGCAGAACTTCAGGAAAAACTATATCCTAGTGTTTTCAAGTGCATGGAATGGGTTTCAGCTTTCAATTGGAATCAAAGGGATAATGATGCAGTATTTGCAGGAGGAGACTAGTTGCATAAAACACAATTAAAGGTACCATATTTGCTTCATTCAGTAATGTAATCAAGATAACGATTCCATGAACTATTATTGCAGTTAGTGTTGTTAATGTCAAGAAATGCTAGCAATAAAAAACTACAACAAAATTGTTTTGAGATTTGTGCCTTTTATTTTAATTTATTCATCTTTTCTTGGGCGTAAAGGGTTCAGTATGTTGTAGATGTTTTTTTTAGTACTGAGATGTGTAAAGTTTGGAGCTGGCAGAGAGGTTGGGTCCTTCAGATTGTTGGTGTCTACGCTTCCCTCTTCGAGAAAAGGAAAATGTTGATAGGAGTAGGGAATTTTTATTGATTTCTTCTAGATGTTATTTTTCGTTGTAAGTTGCCTTTTTAAATAGATCTAATGATTCTAGCACGAGCTAATCCACTTTGATGTTTCACATGAACCTTTTACAAATCTACTCAATTTTTTCTGTTGCATATTTGGTGCAGTTTTCAGGGGATTGTAAAGTCTTGACAGGACGAGATGATTCAGAGTAGTCATTGTTCCAGAACTCATGACGCTATGAGTTCTCATGTAAAGTGTCTGTAAGAATATTTTTGCTAATGGAAATTAACTGTTTTTAAAAGAGAGAAGTGATGACTGACATCTAGTGAAAGAGAGGTTTGTATGATCATCTGGAGCATCCAAATGTGATTAGTGAAAAGTATATACTGATCTTTGCTTTAGCATACCTAAGTTTTTATTCTTGAGATAGAGAGTTAATTGTTAATTACTTGTTTCCATGTCCTTATTGATTTATACTATTCTGATATTTGAATCTAAGCTATAGAGCCAGAATATTTACTACTCAGCCTCTTTTACCATGGTCAATATCTCCATGCGAGGACTTGCATAAATCCAATATCTGTTCAAGTGAATCATTTGACTGCAAGGGTCTAGAATTGTTTTAGAATAAGGTGCCCATAAATGTGTCAAACTTCACGCTGCAAGGTAGATAGAAAGACCGGATTCTATTGAACTATTTCTTCGAGTTTCTCATCGGCATGCATGCCACTTAGGTGACAGTGAAGTAGAAAACATAAGTTCCTTGGCTCCACGAGGAAATTTGACCTCATGCATATGAAGCACGCGGTATTAAAAATTGAACCCTTGATTCTTTTGTAACTTTTTTTTTTTTTTTTTTTTGTGTTAAAGCGACTTTTGACCTCATGCATATGAAGCACGCGGTATAAAAATTGAGCCCTTGATTCTTTTGTAACTTTTTTTTTTTTTTTTTGGTGTGTTAAAGCGACTTTTCTCATTGTATATTTCTCCTGTGTATTCGATCTTTATGTTGCTTAGAGTAAGTTTAACACTGTATTTGCTTTTGACGCTCGACTTTCCTTTCTAACTTCTTGTTTTTTGTAATTCTATAACTGGCAGAAGCCTACTTCATTTCTAGTTTGTATATGCATTGATTGTATAAGCAAATTGCTTTCTTACCCTGAAATTGCAATCTTGATATGTAGCATGTTTTTGTTATTTATCCTTGAAAATTTAAGAGGGCTTGCGGACATTTTCAACAACAGTTGCTTTGCAGGTGGGTAAAAACAGGTGATTCATACTGATATACTACAATAGAATATCCTCTGTTCGAATTTTGAGCTTATTTTTCTTTAATTAGTCTCAAATAAGCGACAAGTCACTGAATTTTAATGAAATTACTATGTCATACTTGTATAATAAAAAGGGCCCAGCTAATTGTTTCAAAGAATTCTTAAATAATTGATTATGCTTAATATGTCAATACTAAATTAATAACAAGACTAAATTATTAAATAAGAATTTATTTTTTAAATTTTCCAGCACAGTATCAATTAGAGGTCTGTTTTTAACCCAACAAATATAGGGGAAAATGTAATTCTGTTTTTTTTTTTTCTTTTGGTTTTCCATTTGATTGGTTCTTAAATCTTAATAAATTCAACTTTTGATTATGAAGTTCAAATCACAAGGCTCTGAAGTTTGGTCATTGTCTAATTCATATTCCCCCTTTTTAATGCAAATTATTCTACATTCTTGCCATCTTATTTTAGTTTGCATTTGGAAAAAGCATTGTTTATTATCTTTACAAACCCTTTATCTAATAAGATGGCTACTTATTAATGTAATTCTATTTAAAATTAATAGAATTAATCAATAAATTAGCTAATTCAAATTTCTAGAAAATCAATTTGTTTCGAATTAATTGAGGGATTCATTTAGTTTCATACGGTTTTGAGAATAATTATTGTACTTACCAGCAAACATATTTATATTGACTCCATTTCATGGCCCACTTTTATATCATTTCCGTGCATCTTTTAAATTTTCATTGTTATTTTATTTTTTTCATAAAAATTACATAGAATTACTTCTTCACTTTTTTTTTTTTTAGCAATTTAGGACTTTTACGTTAAATTAATTAGCTGTAAAAAATTATTATAAAATAATTTTTTAAATATCACTAAAAAAAAAAGTGAAAAGAATACAAGTCACTCAAATCAAAGAAAGCCAATATCGGACACCCCCCAATGCAGGATTTATATTTTCAACTCCAACCTAATTAAAAAAATATATATCAAAGATGAATTACGCCAACGACACCTAGAGTTTCCTATATTATGGCACGGTGCCCCTTCTGTGCTAAAATCACACGGACCTCCCCCCAGAAAAAAAAAAAGAAGAAAAAAGAAACCCCAAGTCCCATAAACGCTGTTGCTACATCCACGACGTCATGATTTCTTTAAATTTCTAATTTACTGAATCATAATTTAAATTTAAGAAGTAAGTACTAAGACGTATCTTTTTCTTGGCTAGTAATTTAAATTCACCAAATGAGTGTGACCACTGACAAATAAGTTGTTAATCGGGGATTAGGACGACAGCTGGTGACAATAGGATCGATGGCAACTGGTCAAGAATGGCTCCGAGAGCAACCCGTCGGTTGATTGTGGTGGGCTTATTAAAGGCGACAATAGGTAGAACTTGGATCCTACGGTCGTGGCTTGGTGGTTGGAAGGAGGACGGCGACTCTCAGACTTGATAAAATTATTAAAATCAATTAGCTCTGCTCGGTTAAATTGGGCAGATAGTTAAAATAGAAAATATGGACTGAAAAATTTTAAAATAAGATTTTTTTAGTAAAAAATAATTTAATATTTTAAAATATTTTTTTATTTGTAATTACTATTAGTAATTTTATAATTATAGATATAGTTTTATAAGTATTTATTTATAATCTTATAATTATGTAAATGTTATTTTAGACATATCGATATGTATATTTATAAATGTACTTATAATTATATAAATGTATATTTGTAAAAATACAAATATAAACATGTAAAAATATAAATATATATTTATAAAATTATGTATATATATTTATAAAATTATAAATATATTATTATAAAAATATAAATTTATATTTATAAAATTATAAATAGTACGTGTAAGTATAAAAATATTTTAAAAAATTAAATTATCTTAATTAAATAAAAAAATTTATTTCAAATTTTCTGAATCAATATTTTTAATTTTAACTATGTGGATCAATATTTTGAGAAACCCAAGGCTATTAGTGATTTTTTCTTAAACTTTATGGGCGAATTATGATGGAAAATTGGCAAATAGAAGCGGTGGCATAATAGTCATTTGACCCTTTTTGTTAATATCTTATTCTCACTAATTGACCAATTCTAATTAGAATGAAAAATGTAATTCTAACGTGAGAGCCAAGTTGCGACCCCACCGCTAAAAGAGGGGAAGAGGGCAAGAAGAAATACTTCTTCGTCGTTAGTCTTGCGCGTGGCCGATGTGGCTGCTAAACCCTACTATATAAATACAACAAACTACAGAGACTTCTCCGCAGCCGGTTCTTATACAGTTATACTCGACTTAAAACCCTAGCCTCCCTCTCCCTAGACGTTCACTATGGCCCCGAAGCGCGCTTCTCCGTTGGAGGATCCTCCTTCCGCTTCATCTTCAGAAGAAGAATCCGAAGAAATCAATGACGGAAAAGAAGGCCAGAAACACGAACAAAACATACAAAACGTGGAATCGGAAGAAGAGGAAGAAGAAGAATCTGAAGACGAAGAAGAAGAAGAAGAAGAAGACCAGAGAGAGAACAAGAAGCACTCTGTTCAGAGCCCACTCAACCTGCTGCGCCGCAGAAGCCAAAGCTGTCGGACTCCGAAGGGTCCGACTCCGAAACTCAGTCCGACGAAGTTCGACCCTCCCCAACTGCCTCCGATTTCACCATCAAGCCCCATTCCAAGCCCGATCCGACTAAGCGAAAAAACCCTCTTCGAAACCCGCAACCCCTGGTCCAAAAAAACGCCCAGCGGAGGGCGAACAGAAGGGGAAGGAGTCCCAGAAGAAGAAAAGCAAGGTTTCGAATGGTGATGAGGAGGAAGGCGCTGTTGAAGAGAAGAAATCTGCAATTACCAGATTGTGGAGTGAGGACGATGAGATTGCAGTATTGAAGGGTTTGATAGAGTACCAGTCGAAGAAAGGGGCCGACCCACATGCTGACATGGGAGCTTTTCACGATTTTATTAAGAAATCGCTACACGTGGATGTCACGAAATCTCAATTGGTGGATAAGATTAGAAGGTTGAAGAAGAAGTACCAGAACAATGTGGAGAAAGGAGAGAAAGGGGAGGACCCTGTTTTCTCCAAACCGCATGAGCACAAGTCATTCGAGCTTTCGAAGAAGATATGGGGCCGTGGAGCTGGTAATGCTGTAGAGAATAATTCAAATGCTAAGACCAAGAGCAACAATATCAGCAAGGCAAAAAAGAGTGTTGAAGCCAACAATTCAACTCATTTGCCCAAAGAAGGTAGGCCAGAGCTTTCATTGGGAGAGGGATCGAAGGCAGAAGGGAAGGACCTAAAGGTTGAACAAGAGGACTTCTGGTCAATTCACCCGCGATTGTTTCAATCGCTGGAGTTGGAGAAATTTCCTTACTTGTCAATGCCGGAAGTTGGGAAGAATTTCATCAAGGAAAGCATGATTTTGATTGGCAGCAGGAAGACGAAGGAGTTGGAAGAGAAGTGGAAGGATTTGTGTATGGATGAAATTGCTTTGTACCTGAAGCGGGTTGAGTTGATCCAGGAGCAGGCAAAGCTTGTGTTGGATGCAATGAAGGCTTCAAAATCCTAGAGTTGTTTGGAGGTAACTGCTTCTGGGTTGTTATGTTTGGTGATGGAAACTAAATGTGATTGCTTAAATGGAGAGTAAAGCGTTTGTTATGAAAATGAGGTTCCGAATTTTGTTTACCTTATTTTGTATTGGAATCTATAGATGGTAATATTTGAATGGAGACTAATTAGCTTCTGAAGTTCACATGTTCTGGAATTTTATGGTTTCTTTTGTTTTTATCTTAATTTACATATTTTCCTCGTAGTTCATCTTTGTTTGAGATCATCGATTTCTTTTGTTATGTACCTGGGGCAATAATTATAATATATGCAATTCGTGCCTCCTTCATTGATGGTTGATGATTCTTGAAGTTACCATGATATCTTTATATACAGTCTCCTTAATATATATGTAGTACACATTTTGCACTTGGTTTCAGTCAGCACTACAACATATTCTGCAAGATTGTGGCTAGCCTATCTACTTAATGTTTGTTGCACTTACGTGTGGAAAATTAGAATTTTTTTCCCATGTGCGTTTGCTAATTATGACGTGTCATGTGCATGAGCTTTTTCTTCCCATGTAGATGGTTGATGATGATGCTTCTAAATTCTGTTCCTTAGTTTGGGGTTTGGGCACAATTCATTGCTAAATGTTGTTACCTTCGTTACTTTTTTGTTTTGATTGAATGGTGTTCAAAAGGTAAAATTGCCACTTTGGCTTGATATATTATTGTTATCATATGAAATTTTGCACCGCCAATGATGGTTGACTTAAGACTGTAAATTTTGAAAGAATTGTAAGTTCCATTTAAAAATTGCCCTTTTCTTTGCTGATTTCAAGTAAAAGTTACTGGGCATTAAGAAGGCAGATTTGTTGCTTCTAGATTTGATGTTGTAGTTATGTAAATTAACCCACCACTTGGAAATTGGAAGTGGTAATGAAACTTATATTTCTTTGCCTGGTTGAATTCTTGCACAATATCCAGTGGATTTTCGCATTTTTGGCATTTGCTGGATCAATATGTACATGTTAATGCAACTACTGATAGTTATCTGCATCAATTTCTGTTAAAAAACACAACTTTGTGACATGCCTTGTTTGCTTAGGTCGTATTGCCTTGACATGAGTGATCATTGTTACATGAGGTTGGAGTGGCTTGTGGGTGATTTAGGTGTTGGACCTTAATTGTCTTAATGACAGGATGTAGGCGTGTAATTGTTCTGTTGGGTACAATGTGTACTTCAAGTGATGTAAATTCTGCTAATCAAATGCATATAGTGTATCATGTATTCAGGCATGGTTCCTCTACAATGTAAAATACTGGTGAAAGATGTAAATTCTAGAAGTCAGCATCTGAACTGATAAACGATGTAAAATTCTTTTCTTGTTCTTGCTTTAAGTACTTTCAAACTATATGGAACAAAAGGCAAATTTCATGATTAATTAGAACGCATAGTTGTTGGGGCTATTGTTTGGTTTCTTTTTGTATTATATTTTATGGAGGCAGTTGCATGTCTAATAGCTGAAGTTTTAGGCTCTTTTCTGTGGTGTAACGTGGAAGTAGCACGTGTTACTGAAACTAATGTTACAAGGATCAACTCTCTTTTCTGTTTCTGTTTATTCTTCTTATCCTCCTCCTGCTTTATTATTGTTGTTGTTATTATTCTTCATTGTTATATGTTTTTCTTTCTTTGTTACATTCATGGTATGTGCACCTTGTTCCTTTCATTCATGGACACGGCCGCATTAGCATGTATCATTAGATAAGCTCAGGAGATATGTTGTGTCATTTGCAAAGCCAAGTGCAGCTATATTTATTGTCTGTTTTGTTTTGGTTTGTTTTGTGTCTTTTTTACCCCTTGTGTATCGATACATACGTGTATACTAGTTAAGGGGCATGTGCTAGGACAACCATTTTAACTAATTGATTTTTTAAATGAATTGTGACTATATGGCTATATAAGAAAGTTTATAGAGATTTGATGTATGAAAATTCATATGTTATTTTTTGATAGGCAAGTTTTTGGGGTTAATAATCTTATAGATAAGAAGAGAATGATTCAAATTCGTAAACACATCAATTCAAAATAAATAAAGATGACAAAACTAGAAATTAAATGATATGTGAACGGAAAAATAGATTATTTTAAGAAAGAGTTTCTGGGAGTGATAATATTTAAATTTGGTCATAGAAATTCAATAGTCGCGCACCATCCGTATTTTATTTTAATAAAAAAGACGCTCAAAAGTGTTGGAAATGAATCTTTAATGAGATTTGATGAGAAATTATTAATATAAACGGCGACAAATATTCAACAATATTTTCTTAGCCCTAATGTCAAGGACCTAATATATTGTTTATATTATATTAATCTTAATATATTGTTTATTAATATTTAACAAGTGGACCCTTGCTTAACCCAGCTCCTACGTCTCATGATTGGTTAGGTTCAAAGCTACCTTGCTTATTGCCACTGCTCGCATGGCGATGGTAAAAATGACAGTTGTATTTGACATTTAAATCTAATTGGAGAATTGTTACATTGATGTGCTGTTTGCCAGTCCAATATATGGGCTCAACATGAAAAGGAACTGAATTTGACCTTAGATATGAATAAATACATCGCATATGATATCTCATAGAAAGGAGGGGCTAAAAAGAGGACAGCAGGTAAAGCATTTCAACCCTGCTTAAAAAGGCCCATAAATTAAAAAATAAAATAATATAATTGGGTTTTTTCTGTGTTCGGTAGATCAGGTTTCTAGGGATATTTGAGAATCATCCAAGTTTTCTTACTTTCTACCGAGCATCTAGCAAGGATATGGTGATTTGATTGGCCGAGCTCATAGCACCCTTGCTTGACGAAGCATCAGACCCAGGCAGAGTCCTTCCAGTGAAGAACCCCGGATGCTTGGGCTGAGCCAGTTCAACCTCACTTCCTAACATCATCACCACAGATGACATGCTTGGCCTCTTATCTGGACTCTCTTGCACGCACAAAAGACCCACATGGATCGTTCGCATAATTTCAGATATGTAGCAAGAGTCTCTTAGATTCTCATCAACCAGTTCTAATGACCTGCCTTCTTTATGGAATAGCCATGCCTGAATAAGAAGCAATGATGTTAATCGGAGTTGATACAAAGACATCAAATGAGAGTTTTCCAAGTTTTAGCATTTACATGGCCAAGGAGGTTGAGGTGGTGATTTGGATGATCAAAACTTCGGTTTCTTTTTCCACTTATAATCTCTAGCACTAGAACCCCGAAGCTGAATACATCTGACTTTACTGAAAATAGCCCATCTACTACATACTCAGGGGACATGTAGCCACTGCAGAATAAAGCAAGCAAAGAATTGTGATTTTTTAAAAACAACCAAACAAGTGTGACTTTTTTAGAAGCAACATATATATAAGAGAAAAAATGTTATATGTGATACTTACTATGTTCCGACTACTCTTTTTGTCTTGTCTTTTGTCTCATCTCCTCCAAGAGTTCTGGCTAATCCGAAGTCTGATATTTTTGGGTTCATGTCATTATCTAATAAAACATTACTAGCTTTGAGATCTCTATGAATAATTCTTAGTCTCGAGTCTTGATGAAGATAAGAAAGCCCCCTTGCTATCCCATTAATAATGTTGAAACGCTGGGACCAATCGAAGAATTTGTTACGGCTTTGATCTGGACAAGTGTTCACCAAAGTTTAGTTGACACTCTTGCTTAATTGGATGCTTGAAATAAAGATGCATAAAAGTTCAAAGGGCGGTTATAGAATTAGAGTTCAAAGAGTGGTTGGATGCTAGAAATAAAGAAAGAAAAATGCCTCGTGCCGTAGAATTGAAGTTTGAAGAGTGTCAAACCAAAATAAAGTAGTCCAAGCTTTTATTCGGCAAGTACTCATAGATCAACATCTTCTCTTCTCCTTGAATGCAGCATCCTAAAATCTTAACTAGATTTCGGTGCTGAAGTTGGGCAATAAGTTGCACCTCGTTCTTGAACTCGTCAAGCCCTTGTCTTGAACTTTCTGAGAGCCTTTTTACAGCTATTTCCTGACCTCCTTCTAGCGTACCCTGCAGTTAAACCAGCATGTTTGACAGAATTATTTGCAAAATTTAGAGTGAACTTTCTTTTAAATAAATCACCCCCTTTTCATCCTGCAGGCTGCTGAAAGGAGGCTTATTTTCTCCTGCCATTTTGAGAATGAACCATAAATTCATCTCCATATTTACCTTATAAACCGGTCCAAATCCACCCTCTCCGAGCTTATTTTTGTCTGAAAAGTTATTTGTGGAATTAACTATTGTGGCCAAGTCGTACAGTGGTAACTCTAGATCGTCCATCTGGCTTTTGTTGGCGAGTTGTTGGTCAGAGTTGCGTATCAAATGCCCTGCAAACAAGACAGCTTATTTTAACATGACTACAAATAAGCTTATTTTTCTTTTCCTTTCTCAATTTCCTAGTGAAAATGTCATACAGGTAAACAAAAAGTGGCTTATACCTTCTATCTCTCGGCTTAAATTTGGCTTCTTATGTCGGCAATATAAGATTAAGCTCAGACCCAGCAGTAGCATCGCAAAAGCTCCCACCAAGGTTGCTGCAACTATTGTTTTCTTGCCGTGGTGCTGGACTGAAATTTCCATTCAAAACGAAATGGTTATAATTCAACTTAATGATGCAACCAAAAAAACATAAATGTTAAGTGCCACAAATTACATTAGGTATCAAATCCATAAAGTTCTATTGTCAGATAAAAACTGATTCAACTTTAACTGGTACCTGTATCTGAGGAAGCCATCTTTACGTAAAGATCTATATGGTTATCAGCAAACGCTCTGATGTCAATCAAATCACCAAACCAGAGCAAGCAACCACTACCACCGTTTCTTATGTCTAGATTTCCATAAGCAGAGCAAGAGCAATTTCTTAGACACACCTCTCGGCATTCCTTGAGGTTCATGGTCCTATTGAACGACGAATTCCGTGTGTCTGGCATTTTGATGCCTGAATACTTCACAAATCCCTCTCCATGGTGGCAAGTCAATGGGTTCCTGCGAACACACCCTTCAGTCCAGTCTGTCCTGTCCCAAGCTACAGGGCTTTTTGGAACAAATTTGTACAAACAACTGCATACGGGGGACCTGTGATGGGAATACTAATAAAAAACAGGGTGAAGATAACACAAGACAATATAATAAAAAAAAAATCTAATATGAATTTAACAATGTTCATCACGTTTCTATTCTTCTTTTTGGACAGGGTTTCTAGTGTAATTAATTTATATCTTTGTTGTGAATTTATAAATGTTTTAACATGAATACAAACTTGGACAGGATTAAGAGACATGAGTTTCCAGCTTTACTTGTCAACGTCGCAGCTACCACACGGACCACAGAGTCCATAGTTGTCACAGCTATCCTGGGGCACTGTAAGGTAAAGGACCCAGCCACGGGTCGGGTCAGCCCATGTCCACCGCTTCCCAACGCCTTCTGGATATAGCACAAACGTCGAAACAACGTCACTGTTGATGAGCTTGTAAGTGTAATACACCTCTTCCTGCCCAAAGACCACCTCGTAAGTGTAAATCGGGTTGGGTCTCAGGTGCGGACCGCTGAACCGGATCCCGTTCCAGGGGCCGGAGCGGAACACCTCAGTTGAGCCGTTTCTCATAACAATTTGCGGATACCCGTTGATGTCCAACCCGAACGTGTACCCACCCGGAGCTGGGTCATTGGAGCTCTTCCACGACGAGAGTTGCCATTCTCGACCTGTCACTAAGTTCTTCCCAAGTTTCATTCCGGGTAAAAAAGTATTACCCGGGTAATCAAAGCTCTGCCATAGAAAATTCCCTGAATTTTCACTATCTGCGTCCTTGACCACAAGATTTCCAGAATCTAGAAGTTGAGCCACTAGGTTCCGTGCAGAGATTGAGGTGTTGGTGAACCATACTATGTTGTTTGCCCCATCGGAGAGCACAAGTCCCTGATCATTGAGTGTTAAGACACCGGAAGAATTGGGGAGTGGGGATTCTCTGTTGGCAACCCACACCACAGTTCCCGTGGAGATCTTCTTGTACCATATGCCAAGGTAACGGCTTTTTTGAACTTCCAGGTGAGAAAAAGCCCAATTGGTAGCTTCCAAGGGAGGATACGATCGTGTCACTATCTTTGATTACCTGAGCTTTGATTATGGTGTCCTCTGTCTTGGATATCGAGATGGAGAAGAAAAGCAGAAGAAAAATGGTGTAGCAAATGAGAAGCCCTTCATCGATGCTTACTCTTCCTGTTCTTCAATCAAAAATAGAACTGAAGACACTCTGTCATGTCAAATTTTCTCCTGCAGAAGTTGCCCTAGGTTCGGAAGGCAGCCGAACCCGAAGGCGTCGTTTCCTACGGGATGGTTCCCCGTTAGCTGTCTTTAGTGGACCAAGTCTTTGACTCTGCCCTAAAGCATTTGCTAAATCCTATCCATGTCATCCCATTTTATTGGTGTCTGAAGATTGTTCAAGATTTGGCTGTATCTGAAATAATGAACTCTCGTGAGCCAGCCAGATAATGAACTTACACCAAATAGCACGTGAATTTCTTCGAGTGTTAGAATTTGATCTTTACACGTAACTCGCAGTCACCCTCCGCAGTAGTTAAAATACAGATCATGGTTCTCATTTAATTCTCTAATGCCTATGATGACAGTCTTCCTCTTTTTTCTTTTTCCCCATGTTTTTACGAGCAAGATGATTATTCAAAGTGGTTCCTTTACCTAATTGATAGCAGAATTCAAATCCAACAAGCACCTTGTCTAAATTCTGGTCCCACCCCTTGTTCAGGTTTGACATGCTACATATTTAGCAAAATCGAAGAAGAATTTTGCTAATATCCCACGTAGAATAGTTTAATATCAGCTTTCCCTATTAAATATGTGACATATATCTTGTTTTCAATTATAAAAACTATAAAAAATGTCAAAGTGGACTTAGTATGACGCATAGTGCTTCTATTTTCTGACTCCCTTTCATTCAATCACACTGGATCTGCTGTGAGCTTAGAACATCCATCGATGTTTCGTTGCATTATTTTTATATGCTACCAAAAAGATTTTTCGGACGAGGTCAATAGTCATCAGAGAAATCATTTCTGAACAAGGACAGACCAGACCTTCCTTCCACTGGGGAGTTCATTTTTCTTTTTCTTTCTTCGACGTCCTCCTCTTGACGCTGATAGCTTAGAATTCATCAATTAATCATATTGAAGTCCTCATGATTTATTTAATTTTAATCACTTTGTGTGTAGCTAATGTCGCTATAGGCGTGGGCAAAATACCCTGCAATTCTTGCAGATTCATTGTGGGCAGTGAGATCAGCTGATAGACGAGTTTATATGGAACTAGTATAGCTTTTTCCACTAACTTGAAAGGTTGCTCATTGGACTTTCTAAAATTTTCAAATCTTTGTAAGAGAGAGAGAGAGAGAATACTCTGGAAGAGGTGATGGTGGGGCCGTCCAAGATGAAAATAAATGCAGTTTAATATGAAATGAACAAAACTTATGTACGTGTAACATATGTACGTCTATATTCTGCCACTGCTCGTCTCAGCGATTGTTAAACGCGCGCACACAGTACTCACCCGAATTCCGGTAAATTATTAAATTTGACGGCGACACAGATTGATATTAGTTCGAATTTAAATTAAATTAAAATGATCCGAATTCAAATTTAATTATTAATGTATGTATTTAAATTTAATTAAAATTTTATAAAAAATTTATTTATTATTATCATATTTGAATATGATAAAAATTTGAAATTTGAAAAAAAAAATTTAATCTGAATAATAGTTAATAATAATTAAAATTAAATAATCAATAAATAAAAACATGTAAAATTAAATAAATTGTTATTTATGAAGGATAAAAATTTATATAAGATTTATTTTTAATTATTTTAATTTTATTAAAATATAAATAAAATTTAGAAATAAATTATTATTTAAGAATGATTAAGAGGAACTTTTGTTATATAATATACTACAAAAGTTAAAGTAAAATTCCAGTACTTTATAAAATTATCAAATTTTATTTATATTATAGTTAGAATTTAGAAAATTTTGTAATCAATTTATTCAAGTGTTTCATGAAATTTCAAAAGTAATTAATTATTAAATATAATATTTACTTGAAAAATTAAAATTAAGAAAAGTAAAAGAATATTATAGAATAGTTTAAAAAAAATAAACATTATTCTATTAAATAAAATGGCTTATAAATACAAATTAGTGTATTGTCAATTGCAATGTCATATCTATTACATTATATATATATTTATTAATATTATATGATTATTAATTAAATAAAAATATTATTAAAATATTCAAACTCATATTTTTAATGAATTGGATTACTTAACTCTATATTCGGTCTATTTATTTTAGATTACGAATATTTATAATTGGATTTAATTTATCAGATATTTTAATCGATTAAAAAATTTAAAATTTAAATTAGATTCGAATCAAATTTGAATTAAAATTTATTTCATTAATAATTCTAGATGGAGGAGGTAAATAGGAAACTATTTTTTATGCAGCCCAACCCATCTAAAGTATAGAATGGACTACTTGCATCAAGGAGTCAGCTTTGAGCTAGTTATGAGCACTAAACGATGTGTTTCTGCAAGCATCTAACAGAAAAAACGGTGGTTTCATTAGCTGAGTCCACTCTTAGCATTGGTTGATGAATGATCAGCCTTGAGAAAATTCCTCTTGGTTAAAAAGGCCAGGCTATTAGAGTCGAGGATTGAGGCCCTTACATGCAGAAGCAGAGAAAAGTACCACATTCACGATCTCATTTTTTTCTCAATTAGAGAAGATATTTTTGAACTACCAGAAAAATCAGAAAGTAACCTGCTCTCGATGAAGAATAATATGCTCTGATACCAAAAGCTTCAGAATCATTGAATTCCTTTCTTGATGTCAAAGCCTTTCTTTTGTCTCCTTCTGTGGGCTGATGCACAATCTCTGAAATTCAGCACCAATTAAGATCTAGGTTATCTTCGTATTAGTGAAATCCTAGACAATCCAAGTAGTGCATGCTTAGGAGGCAAGTTACTTAGAAGAGCTGAAAGCAGATTCAGCAAGCTGCTAGATGCACAACAATGAGGTAGAGAGAGAATAAGTTTAGAAGGAAAGAAAAAAGGAGAGTAAGAGAAGGGGGAAAGTTAATTGGCAGAGATAACCTAGGCAAAGGAGGAGAGTAAGAGAAGGGGGAAAGTTAATTGGCAAAGATAACCTAGGCAACCGCATTTCAGGTTCTCAGCGAATGAAACCCAGGAGGATAATCTAGACATCACACCTAGAGTATTGGGCAATCTCACCCAAGTAGAGATGCATTACAGGTCAGAATCAACAAATCAGTTTACTTTCTTCCTATACTGAGCTATCAATAGATTAGATTTGAGTCAGATTATCGAAAATCCAAATTTGAATTCGATAATAACACATATATCTAAGCTTGATTATAAATTTTATAGAATATGTGTTTAGTCATACTATATCCGAATTCAGATAAAATCTGTTATTTGAATCTGAAAAGTTCAAGTACCATATTTTTATTATTTTATATTTTAAAAAAATTAAAAATTAAAATAAAAAATTCTTAAAAAGTGAACTAATAAATAATTTTAGAGTTTAAAAATATAATATAATTACATTTAATCTACCACAATATCTTATATTGAGATTAGTTTACTGATAATGCATAACAATTACATTTAATTTATTAATATACATATTTCTCATTTTTGCCTTTATTAAAAAATAAAAATATGTTTCTAAATTATATTTTAAGAAGAAATTTATTAATTAAAATTTGATAAATCAAGTTTATATTGTAATATATATAATATTATATTATATTATATATTACATATGTTGTCTGTATATAATATACATATATGCATGTAAATATATATATATATATATATAAATTTGTATTATACGTGT